GTGATGTTCCACAGGCCCTTGCGCGCATGCGCAAATGGTCGCAACAATGCTGTAGCGTGTGAACGAGACGGAGACTTCTCTCTCGCACAAAAGGTTCTCATTCCCGGCGCCTGATTTAGGGGTTGGAGCTAGAAAATTATGTTTAACTTTGAATCCATAGGAGATTCGCGGGTACGATAAACACAAAATTAGTGGTAAATGTTCTAATAAAAAATATGGAAGAAAAAAAAAAATTCATTAACTTCAATTTTTTAAATGGAAAACATTTTTTTTTCCCATCTGATCTTCACGCGGCTCTGGGGGATGAACGGTTGGGAATAGGGGTAAAGTGGTCTAAACATTTTTTATGTAGAATTTTGAGCTCTACAACTTTGTATTTTACATTTTTGGACCTACAGCGCGTTATTCACGAGTTATTTCGAAAAAACGGTTTTCAGGGGTAGTTTTTTGGGTGNTCATTAACTTCAATTTTTTAAATGGAAAACATTTTTTTTTCCCATCTGATGTTCACGCGGCTCTGGGGGATGAACGGTTGGGAATAGGGGTAAAGTGGTCTAAACATTTTTTATGTAGAATTTTGAGCTCTACAACTTTGTATTTTACATTTTTGGACGTACAGTGCGTTATTCATGAGTTATTTCGAAAAAACGGTTTTCAGGGGTAGTTTTTTGGGTGTTTCAACCCCCGCACAAACTTGGGGAACCTTAAACATCTGCCATTAGTTTCATACGCCCAAATCACATATTGTATCAAAAATGGAGCCTGATTAGCAAACATTCGTATGTTAGACCTTCGTTCATTGGACTACTCCGGCCTCACTCGACGCCGGAGAGCCGTTCGGGGTTTCTCCGCGCATTTGAAAATTCATTCCTCCGCTCCTACTTGAGATTAAGTAATGAAACCGCTGTCATTTATTGCGTATTTAATTCTCTATCGATCGACATCGGTTTCATTCCTTCATCTTAATTAGGGTGGGAGAAATGAATTTTCCAATCGGGAGAGCCCCTCCGGGCTCACTCGACGTCGAAAACCCGTTCGGGGTTTCTCCGTNTTCAGTCCTCCGCTCCTACTTGAGATTAAGTAATGAAACCGCTGTCATTTGTTGAGAATTTAATTCTCTATCCAACGGCGTCGGTTTCATTCCTTCATCTTATTTAGAGTGGGAGAAATGAATTTTCCAATCGGGAGAGCCCCTCCGGGCTCACTCGACGTCGAAAACCCGTTCGGGGTTTCTCCGTGCTTTTGAAAATTCATTCCTCCGTTCCTAACTGAGATTAAGAGATGAAACCGATGTCATTTATTAAAAATGCAATTCTCAATCTGTGGACTTTGGTTTCATTCCTTCATCTCAATTAGGGAGGGGAGAAACTAATTTTTGAATGGGATGAACTTGTTCGGAGTTACTGCGCGTTTTGAAAATTCATTCCTCCTCTCCTAATAGAGACTAAGGGAATGAAACCACTGTCATTTATTGAGAATATTATTCTCGATCGATAGATGTTGCGTTCATTCCCTCTTCGCAATTAGGCGGGCAGGGGGGGGGGAGAAATGAATTTTCTAATCGGTGGAGCCCCCCGCGCTCACTCGATGCCGGCGAACCGTTCGGGGTTACTCCGCGCTTTTGAAAATTCATTCCTCCGTTCCTACTTGAGTAGGATAGGATAGAATTTCCCGAAGATTCCAAAAAGCTTCATTGTTCTTCGTGCATGAAAAATGGGGATCTTTGGGAAACTCCTTGCAATCGCAAGTCTTTTACCGATTTATTTTTCTCCGTGTAACGTCCGCATAAAAGATCAAAAAATCAATTTAACAATGGGATAAATGGAGTGGAGAGAAAAACGTGAATATCTCGGAAATTAGATGCGATAAAATGGGCCCTTTTCACGTGGACGTACACATATAATTGGACTGAAATTTATAAAAAAATTTAATTTGCTATGACGAAATTCCTTGAAATTTCCGTATTACGGCAACGCGATAAAAATTCCCAATAAGTGTTCCCGGAATTTCCGCGAAAATATTACTGAAACCTACAGACATCATTCCTGAATTCAAGACTTTCCTTTGATTTTCAGGATCATGTCACTAGAAATTTTTTACAAAATGACTTAATTTTAACATTGCTTGCTCATTGCATTTCAGAAATGCAGCTGCCTAAAAAAGACACATCGATTCCTAGGAACAACGTTTTTTTTTTCTCGGTAAACACAGACAATTTCTCTGAGAGAAATCTCAGAGTGGAATGCCGGGATTTTTTTTCACTCTGGATTAATTTTTTAAAGATTCAAATTGATACTTGATTCATTCACATCGTTCCATTCCATCGGGAGATATTGTCGATTGGAGACAATTTTTTATGGTCACTGAAGGAGGCAAACCATTCATCTAACTCTCGCAATAATCTGCGAAAAATCTTATTCATTAATCTATTATTATTGAATTAATCCTATTATGTGTAGATCGCTGAAGAACAACGAAAACGTTCCAAACGTTGAAACGAGTTGGAATGTTTTCTCTCTCCTCCTCCACCTTCTTTCTTACTCGCACTCGTTAAGTTTGGCGGAGTACGGGCACGTGCCAACGCGACAGAGACGACAATGAGTGGGAGCGAGCGCGATACATAATCCTTTCTCACTCAGGGGGGGAATAAATATATATGATCGAACATTACTACAGTAAGAAAAAACAAAATCTGCACAATTATTCAATAGAATCACTGGAAAACTCTATAGTCGCTGGAAAACTATAGAGTTTTCCAGCGACAGCGCTGGGATTTTCTATGAATTTTTTGACTTACGTGTCAACCTGTCTCTTATACACATCTCGATGTGTATAAGAGACAGGTTGACACGTAAGTCAAAAAATTCATAGAAAATCCCAGCGCTGTCGCTGGAAAACTCTATAGTTTTCCAGCGACTATAGAGTTTTCCAGCGACAGCGCTGGGATTTTCTATGAATTTTTTGACTTACGTGTCAACCTGTCTCTTATACACATCTCGATGTGTATAAGAGACAGGTTGACACGTAAGTCAAAAAATTCATAGAAAATCCCAGCGCTGTCGCTGGAAAACTCTATAGTTTTCCAGCGACTATAGAGTTTTCCAGCGACAGCGCTGGGATTTTCTATGAATTTTTTGACTTACGTGTCAACAATAAATATGTCGAGAAAAAGGAAAAGACTTTTAGATCATTAGATTGTGCATTCATTATACTATTGATTATAATATGTTGGATTTTACATTCCTGACAATTATTACAAAATGCGAGGAGCTACCGTATTGAGAACCCCTTTCCGGTTATCGACAAATTTATGCTCGGGCCCTACCATACCAACAGTTCCGTACGCTCCATCGTAGTCCATGTGCCACCGCTACCATTTTTGCTGTTGAACACTTTACATTGGCCCTGCTCATCTCCCCTATAATCTCTGATTCCTGACATTTATTACAAAATGCGAGGAGCTACCGTATTGAGAACCATTTTCCGGTTATCGACAAATTTATGCTCGGGCCCTACCATACCAACAGTTCCGTACGCTCCATCGTAGTCCATGCGCCACCACTACGAATTTTGCTGTTGAACACTTTACATTGGCCCTGCTCATGTCCCCTATAATCTCTGCTTATCTCTGGCCCAGAGGCCTAAATCAACCGTGGCGCCATCGCTCGCATGGGGCACTTACTATTGCTGCCTTTGGAATGCTTACTATTTCAGCTTGGGGGCAGCTTACTATTTCAGCTTTTGTTTGGCGGTGGCTTTGTCATTTGAGTCATTTGTGTCTAATTAATTCCAGATATTAAAAAGTTAAGAGATGAATATCGTCAATACTTTACACCCCCAAAATCCAACGGCTCCGTATCACTTGGCAGGATGTGATTGGATGCAAACAGAAGCCAGTACTGGGGTAATTATTGTATTTTTTCTTCTATTATGTGAAGTTTCCACCGACATTGTTTGCTGGGACGAGAGGTTAGAATGACAATGCAATCTTTCAATTTCCACACTGCTTAATGACAATACTTTTCCACAAAACTGCAACCACATATACGTTTCAACTTATTACCATTATGTTTTACTCCATAGACATCTATTATGGCAGTGGAATTTAATGGAGGAGTAATCATTGGAGCAGATTCAAGAGCTACCACTGGGTAAACACATTTGATTGGCTAAAATGATCGGAGATCAAATGGTGATAATTTTTGCTAGAATTTTTCTTCTCCTTCCAGCGCTTATATTAGCAACAGAACTGCTGACAAGTTGACCAAAATCACAGATAATATCTACTGCTGTCGTTCTGGGTCTGCAGCCGATACACAGGCTATTGCTGATATCGTTTCCTATCATTTAGGATTTCATCAGTAAGTTTAGCACGTTTACCTAATTGCGGTTATCAAATGGTTGATTTATGTTTTAGTGACCAATAATTCAGGGACTCCGTGTCAAATCTGTCAACCCCTATCATCCTCGAAAGTGAATGCTAATTTTTTATAGGATGGGCAGCCATAAATAACCATTCCCTGACTTTTTCCAACATTTTTCTTTAAAAACTATAGTCCATGCGGAAGATACAGGGGAGGGCGGGGTAATATGGACACGACTTTTAAATAATGAACTGCATTGAATCAAATCTACTCTTCTGACTTCATTTTGAGGTTAGCAAAATAATAATGTTGTTTTGAGACTCTGTCCTGACACTGGTAAGGTAAAACAAAAACGGGGTAAAATGGACACGATTTTTTTCCCAATTTTTTATGTTTCAATAATATTATTCAATTGATGAATTCATTGATTGAATAATTCATAATTCGATATTTTTTGTCTTTTCAATCATTCACGGTTGCCCTCGAACCCTCTACTGCGCCTGCGTGGCAGCATAGGACAACACTAGTCATGACAGGGATTTTCAATTTTGAAATTTTTGACTTTCGGCGCGGGCGGGAGGGGTGAAGTAAACTAAATTTTTCTTTGTTTGCTCATTCCCCTTCTCCTCCTCATTGTTTTATGCTGATTTCCTTTGTGAGTGGAAAATCAGCCATCTTAGAAATTTTGCAAAAGGACAAAAGGTCCTTTGTGTAGGGTGTGTAATTGTACATTGATTTTGAGAAGGCGATAAGTTATCAGAAAATGAGGAATTTTAAAAGCAAGACAGCGTCAAAACTGGGATCTACTTCAAATGGCTAAAGCGATAGAAGCTGTGGAAATCCACAAGTCACCACTGTTGACAGCAGCTAGGGATTACAATGTATCGAGGAACACTCTACGTCGTCGGATTGAGTTGTACAGATAATGTCCTGATATGGCTATGGTTCTCATCAAAGGTAAGAGACTATCAAGATGACAAAACTGTCACTTTCATGTAATTTCCACTGCATGTGTGTATTGGAAAGGGGTAAGATCACAAATTACAATAGAAGAAAGTAACACTAAGTAGATGATCGACCGAAGGAAGACCTCGATACTCAGAAGAATAAAAGAAAAACAAAATGGGAATGGTGAAGAAGAATCGTTGCTTATTACTCTTCGATTCACTTATAGCTTCAATCAATTTTCACGATAATGATTGTGGTTTATGACTATCAAAAATGGATTTATTTCATTTTATTTTTGTCGTCGTTAGTTTTAATACTCCGAGACTTTCAAAATTACTGTAATTATGATTTTCCAATGGTTCTATTGTGTAGCAATGAGAAGGAGACGTTTTGGAGATCAAAGACACGTGCACTCCTGATTTTTCAATCAGGAAAACTTTACTCTTCAGCCATTCCCAACAAACTCATTGAGAAATTCGATAATTTTAAAGCTTTCACGATGAAGACTCAAAAAATGACTCCACAACAAAAAAACCCAATATCTCCTCCCTAGGGATGGGAAGTCGTACAACTGTCTTCTCTGCCATTCAGTAAGTGGAATTGGCAGTTTATTTACAAGAGAAGACAGAATTCCTAGCCGGACTCACCACTTACGAAGTACGTCTGCTCTCTTATCAAATTGCCAAGAAGAATGGAATCCAGCACCCCTTCATCAATGGTATTGCTGGAGAGGATTGGCTGAGAGGGTTTCTCCAAAGAAATGGTACATTATCAATAAGGAAACCTCAGGCAACGTCGATCGCACGGGCTATGTGCTTCAATAAGGTCCTTGTTGGTAACTATTTCAATTTGCTGTATCAACAACTTACCCTTGGAATGGGAGCAGCAGGCATAGAAAAGTTATTGCCCCTTTCACGTATCTTTAATTTCGATGAGACTGGATTCACCGTGAATCCGAAACAATAATCAAAAATTGTTGCAACAAAGGGGAAAAAACAAGTGGGTAAAGGAGTGTCCAGTGACCGAGGGAAGCTGGTCACCGTGGAGCTATGCATTTCAGCAGATGGAAAATGTTTGCCACCAGCGTTTGTGTTTCCTAAAGTAAACATGAATTCCCAATTCTTAATTGGAGGATTGGAATGTTCCTGGGGAATGGCCATCCAGAGTGGGTGGATGACTGCTGATTTATTCCTCCAATGATTTAAGTGGTTTGTGAAAACAGTCAAACCAATGGCTGAAAGCCCTGTACTTCTCATGGATGGCCTGAATCAGGGCCATCACCCTGAGGGTGAATTAGAGGATGACGATACAGGCTCGCAACAGACTCCACTCAACTCAGAATTTAAAGAAAAATTGATGAAGAAGAAGGTGGAACAAAATCGTCTCTTTCAAGTTACGCCATCAGCACTGGAGCCCGTTCCTGTTGCTCGAGATCAATCAACATGTAAGAGACGTACTAGGGGAAAGACCGCGGTTCTTACAGGCGAGGAATATCGGTCTGCGTTGGAGGCTAAGAAGAAAGAAGCGAGTGAGATAGAGGAGAAGAAGAAGAAGTGTCAATCTAAGAAAAATTAGAAGAGCAAAGGAAAAAGCGCGAGAACAAAATCCAGTCTGCCTCAGAAGAAGCAAAAGAAGGTTCTAGAAGTTGAGGACGAGAGTGATGCAGTTTGTATCTATTGCGAAGGTCTCTACTCCGAGTCAACCGAGCGGTGAATCGAGTGTGAGAAATGCCACAATTGATGTCATACTTCATGTGCTGACATTTCATCAGATGACGAGGACCCCGACTTCATCTGCGACAAATGTTAATTATTCAAGATCTGATAATCCCATATCCATTTGAATTCTGTGTGTTCTTCTCATTTATTATAATTTCTCGTAATTTACCTAGTTTTTCAAATAAAATAATATTTCCACATTATTCCACTACTAAAAAAAAAGAAATTCATTGCCACTATCATTCAAACTTCAATTTAAAATTCGAAAGAGTTGACGAAGTTTACTTATTGATTTTTTCTTCCAACTCTACTTTCTCTCTATAAAGAAATAGCCACACAATTATGTTGTAAAATGCAGAGAGATATTTCCCTTTATTTTCTCCTCAAAAAATATAAATCTACTAAAGCTTTTGAGAAAGTTTCTTCAACACATCTATTTCATCAGAAATTTTCTTGTCTTTTGAATAGAACTAAATTTTTCGGGTGTTGATCTTGCCAAGAAGCAGTTCAAGGGAAATTTTTGAGGATGCATTTTACCTCACCCATATACAGATTTATCAGGTGCTCATTTGGCCTTACAGCCGTTTTCGAAAGTTTGAATTGTGAAAAAAAAATATTCTAAAAATTTCTTAAGTGTCCATTTCTTCCACCCATATACAAATTCATCAAGTGTCAATTTTGCCCCGAAATAGCTTCCAAAAATTTGAAATTTTGAAAAAAAAAATCGTAAATTTTCAAGTATCCATTTTACCCCACTCATATAGCCATTGATCAAGTGTCCATTTTGCTGAAATTTGGACAGAATCTTCGTCCCATGATACCAATGCTTCCTATTGAAGATGGGCTCAATCGCATCGGTAGTTTCGGACATATTCGACGTTTTCTGAACATTTTTTACATGAAATATTTTAAAAACTACGCAACCGATTTCACTTTTTCTTCTTTCAAACCATTCGTTTCCATGCCTTCTATGTAAATCAATTACAACATATACCCGTTCATACAAAGTTTTCGAGGTATTCTTGATTTTCTATTTTTTTCATAAAAAAACTTTGTAAACACTAGCTTATGCACAAATCGAGATATCAACTTGAAATTTGAACAAAATCTTCCACTTACGATAACAATGTTTCGTATTGAAGATGCGTTCAATCGCATAAATAGTTTCGGAGATATTCGACTTTTTTTGAATTTTTTTTACATTAAATCTAATCTTCAAAACTACGCAACCGATTTCACTTTTTCTTTTTTCAAAACATTCGATTCGATGTTTTCTGTCTATGTCAATGAAAACATATACCTATTCATACAAAGTTTTCGAGATATTCCTGTTTTTCCATTTTTCCATAAAAAACTGTAAACACTCTAGCTTCTGCAACAATCGAGATATCACTTTGAAATTTGGACAGAAAATATGAATACCCGCTTAGGGGGCTCGCTGCCCCCTCCCTGTTGTTTATTTTTTTTCATCTTTGAAGATTTGTGATGAAATTTATTTTTCAATTCGAATATTCCTAGAATGCATTTTAGCAGCTTATTTATGGGCGATTCTACGCCAAATCAGCAGTAAAAAAATCGATTTCTCCGATTATATCCGTGATTTTTTTCTGCATTCTATATAATTAGTTAAGGTTTCAGTTGAAATCTCAACCCAAAGTAAAGATTTTTGTACGGGCTATGATTTTTTGACATTTTTGCGCTGGTACTGGTATATTGTGTCACAAGTGCGTAAAGAACCACTTTTTCGCACCTATGCGTAACACATCCTATTTTTTGTGATACCTGCCTGAAAAGTTCACTTTTCGAAACCGTTTAGTGTCCGTAAGTCTCACGGCATGCGTAAAAATAACCTTTTCGTCACTGAGGTCCGATAAGCGCCCCTTACTAGGACTCTGTTGAGACAGGGTAAGTGGCGTTTATCACATCAGTTCCATAATGCGTGATCCAAGGAGAGTAAGTGAAAGACCAGGCATGGTAAGTCTCACTTACCTATCCAAGGATTGGTAAAGCGCGACATGAAGGCAGCAGATAGTGAGTTCTGACGTGGTCGTCACTTGGCAGGGTTGCGCCTGCGCTTTGCGTTCGGGAAAACGTATAGTCGGGTAAGATCATACAGCGCCTCTTCCGACCCCGGTTATAACCACAATATTCGTCATTTTGTGATTGTGCGGCATCGGCAAACTGATGCGACAACACAAAATACACACATGGAAAATATCATAATCCCCGATAGTGATGAGAGTGATCAGGAATTTGTGTCTCCCGAACTGTTTAGCGACATGGACAAGGAGAGTTCAACATCCAGCATGTCAGTGAACGTGAATTCACTGAATGACTCCAGTGTCGATAAATGCACAATTCCACAAGACGTTCTAGACCAAGTCAGGAAAGCTGAGTCTATCCTTATACCACAAGGTTCAAAGCCAATTTATGATCGAGCATATCATAAGTTCCAAGCTTTTGTAAAGGAGAAACGAANCAGGAAAGCTGAGTCTATCCTTATACCACCAGGTTCAAAGCCAATTTATGATCGAGCATATCATAAGTTCCAAGCTTTTGTAAAGGAGAAACGAATTAAAACGGTTAACGAGACAGTGCTATTGGGGTATTTCAATCTGTTAAGAAGGCCCAATGAAATCGACCCATGTCAAAAGGATAAGCCTGGCATAGCACCCTCATCATTGTGGGCCATTTATTCCATGTTGAAATCTACTCTGCTTGCCTATGACAAAATTTATATCAGCGACTTTCACACTCTTTTGAGTTTTTTATCCGCCAATACGAAACAGTCAGATCATATTAAGAAGAAGGCCAAAATATTCACCGAGGAGGAGCTAGCCAGATTCTTGGAGACAGCACCTGATAAAGACTGGCTAGCAGTGAAGGTAATTCTTGTTTTTTTGAATAAATTCTAACTAACCTCAAATAAAATTTGCAAACCCCATTCGCAGATATAATAAATCATTAGTGAATATTTGTATTATTTATATTTTTGCATTACTATGGAGTCCTATTTGTCAGCCTATCAATTCCCCAATTGTCAAATATTTTACTCATCTATTTATATTTATTGAAACAGAAAAATTTTAAAAATCAAAAATAAAACTTTTATTTATAGATGTGCATTTTACTCCATTCTCCCTTCTACAAGCTCTTATATTGATATATTTTCTATGGAAAATATATCGGTTTTTTCAGCCCTAATTTTGTAATTAAAAAAAATTAATAACAACTTATACGGCAATTAGATGGAATTTTGTGATAAATTTTAGGGCGTTATACTATTTTTTTTGCACGTGCATGTAAAATTCTGCAGCGAAGTGATAAAACGAGGTAAGAGCATTCTCCATATTTCCTTAAAACTCGTATTATCTCAGCAAAGAATGATTTGGGAAGAAAATATCATAACAATTTTTCGTTGGAAAAATAATCAGCTAGAAAAATGATATTATGACTTTATCTCCTAAAATTACTCCTTACTGAAACAATCTGAGTTTTACGAAGATGGGAAAAATACACTTATCTCGTTTTACCACTTCGCTAGAGAATTCATGGTTCACGAAATCTCTAATCGGTTTTAATTTTTATAGGTCGCATGCATCCTGGGTATACACGGGTTTTGCAGACAACTGGAGCTTTATAAGTTGACTCCTCAACACATTGAGGATCACCAGACATGCCTCAATGTCAAATTGGTAAAGACCAAAAATGGCTCCACTCGACCGTTCTCTTTTACTGGGCCCTTTTGGGAGATTCTAAAGAAGTATATTGCCTAATGTTTATGACCGATATAGATATTATTAGTTTAAATGTTCTTTGTTTTGGTGGGGAGAAGCATCGCCCTGATAAGGAAAATCCTGCTTAAAAGATTAGTATTTCTTCGTTGAATTTTATGAATTTATCGCTATTCTGAATAGATAAATATTTAAGATTGATAAATCGATAATTACTCTCCAATTTCTTTTTCTTTTAATTTCGTATTTTCTTCAGTTTTTTTTTAAATGATGCCCTACGATATAAGAAGTTATTCATACCAAAAAATGGCATGCTTTAGATTATTTTTTAAAGAACTGATAAAGATAATATCAATGTTTATGTTTATGACCGATATAAATATGATTAGTTTAAGTGTTCTTTGTTTTGGTGGGGGGAAGCTTCGCCCTTATTAGAAAGAAAATCTTGCTTAAAAGATTGATATTTCTTCGTTAAATTTCATCAATTTATCACAATTCTGAATAGATAACTATTCAAGATTGATAATTACTTTCCAATTTTTTTTTTGTCTTTAGTTTTTTTTTTAAATGATGCCCTACGATATAGGAAGTTATTCGTCCCAAAAAAATGGCATGCTTTAGATTATTTAAAAAAAAACTGATTAAGATAATATAAATGTTTATGACTGATATAAATATAATTAGTTCAAGTGTTCTTTTTTTTAGTAGGGAGAGGCTTCGCCCTTATTAGAAGGAAAATCTTGCCTAAAAGATTGATATTTTTTGTTGAATTTTATGAATTTATCACTGTTCTGAATAAACAAATTATTTGTGACTGATAAATTGATAATTACTTTTCAATTCCTTTTTTCTTCAGTGGGGGGGGGCCTTCCCCCCCCAACCCCCCCCACCAGGGGGACTCCGTCCCCCTGGACCCCCTCCCGCGCTCGCTCGCGCCTCCCTTGACGGACCTTCGTGACGAAAAATAGTATATGTTATTCGGGCGATAGCGTTGGTTCATGACTCGTGTGAAGTTTGCAGCACTCGTGTGAAGTTTGCACCTCGTGCTGCAAACTTCACACTCTCACGAACCGCCGCTTATCGCCCTCATAACATAATGTACTATTTTACCCCCACTACCATTCCGAACAGTGAACTTGGTAGGTATCACGTAAAACACACTTTACGCGTACTGAACGGTTTCGAAAAGTGAGCTTTTCAGGCAGGTATCTAAAAAAAAACGATTCCATTGTCTTTGATAACTTCGCCGGGTTTATGTGTATCAAAAAGTAAATTCAAGGGATTCATAGTATACTGAAAACTCTTCAAAATGAATCCAAAAAAGATTATTTCATGCAATTTTACCGACGTAATTGTCAAAACAAGTTTCTTTTTAAAGTTGAATGTTTCAAAAAAATCATTTTTCAAAAACCTGTAATTTTTGTAGCAAATTTTTACCACAAATACCTACATTCGTGAAAAGTTTCAAGCAGTTCTTCGCCAAAGCTCCTGAATTAGAGAGTAATGAAACTTCTAAAAATTCTTTCCTCGCTATTTCGGAATTTTCAGGCGTTTACTCGAGTTGTTTTGCGAATTTTCTTGAGTAAAACAAGTTTTCATTAGCTTTAAAAAATAAAAAAATTTATTTATCATTTTGTGGCGGTCTTTGTTCATCATATAATTGAAATATTTACGAATGATGGCTTTCTTCGCACTTTTTGGCAAACTATAAGGCTTTTTTAATTTTCTTCAGTATTATGGCTTCACATAAAATCATTTCAAATGTCAATGTTACGGCCCTCTTCTTTCCAGCAATTTTGTAAAACAGCTGGGCCATGAGGTTCCCTCAAAATTGCACTAAATTAATTCCTGGCTACCTTTTGACATATTTTTCCTATTCACCATTTTTTGTTATGAACAAATGTCACTTCTGGTTAAACCGATTTAAAGGTTAATAAATCCACTGTTATTTTGACTCTATCGTAGTCGTATGAATGGACACTGTTTTATCAAGAACTGTTCCTGTAGACTCCGGTACAAAGCAGTGATAGGTACCAATTCCAGGAATTGTTTTGATATCAGCAAATTGAGGATTTTCAGTAAATTTTTCTTGTAAACTAATATCGAGAATCATTCTGGTTCCCCTTCTACCTACTCCAAAATCCTATCCACCAATATCCTGTGACGTCACAATTGCCGTAAATCGTGACGCGTTCCATATTTTTCACTGAAGACGGGAGTTTGTGCAGCATTCATTGCCCTCTATATAACTTTTGGCGTGCCGGCTTCATAAGAACAAGCTATGCAGTTATGTTGAGATCAGTGATAGCGTCCCACATCGCGTGACGTCGCAGGATATTGTTGGATAGGATTTTGGAGTAGGCAAGACAGGAACCAGGATATTAGTTAACAAGAAAAATTTTTTTTTTAAACACTTGGTTCAGACCGGGATTTGAACCCGGGACGTTCCGATTATCCATCAGGTTCTCTCCCAACTGAGCTGTCCAACTCGTAACCATTTCTTCATTTCAAATTTCTTGTATATACCGAGCTCCGCCGTTCTTCATACGGCAATCAGGGAAATTAAAGATTTTGAGACTTCTTTTGTCCATAACTTGAAGTCTCTTTCCTTCTTAGATGTCCTAGTGCATCGTAATGAGGACGGAAGTCTTGGTCACCGAGTCTACCGAACGCCTACACATACAGATAGAGACCTCCATGCCTTCTCACACCATCACCCTTCTCAAAAGGATTCGGTGATAAGCTCTTTTATGTACCGAGCTCTCACTATTTCCCAGCCTGAATACCTGGAAGCCGAAGTTCAACACCAGGATAAAGCATTGAATAACAATGGATACCAGAGCAAACAAGTCCACCGTGTTTTGCACAGGCTGAAAAACAAGAACTCAGCTGAGAGTGAACCTGCTGATAAAGTAGAATATCAGAAAACGGCTGTTCTCCCGTATCTTCAAGGTACGACGGATCGCATTAGCAAGGTACTACAGAAGCATGACAGGACAATTTTCAAACCACCAACGAAAATTGAACAAATGCTCCCCAGTACTAAGGATCGGAGACCACCACTTAGTGTCCCAGGGGTGTACAACATCCTTTGCTTTTGTGGAAAAGGGTACATTGGTGAAACCGGGAGGAGGATCAGTACATGGATCAAAGAACATCAACGGTGTGCAAAAAATGGCCATATCTCGCAATCTGCACTGGCTGAACATCGGATGGACACTGGACACTCTATCCAATATGACAAGACAGAAATGCTTGCCAGCTTACAAGGATATTTCGCCAGAAAACATCGCGAAGGTCTCGAGATACAAAAACATCCGAACAATCTCAATAGGGATCGAGGATACCAAACCAATCCAATTTGCACACTGTCCTCCCGGTTTTTTAATTGACCAGCTGATCAATTAAAAACATCTTGATTGGCTGGGATACCCCCCACCACTCTACCTACCCCCTCCTGGGGTCAGGGGGTATATAAGGACTTCCTTACAATGGGGAGCTTCAGTATCGAAGCAACCTAGCCCTGATGATGCAGACTGAAATGTTTGCGAAACGTCGGCAAAAAGCTGAATCTAGACGCGGCATCCATCCGGAAACCATCATAATGAATAATAATATTGGCCGCGAAAGCTTCAAAACTCAAATCTACTCCAGTTTGTCAAATTTATCATGCATTTTCTAATTCAGATCGGGTCAGACATCTATACAAAGGAGTTCCCCAGGGGGGCGTGCTGAGTCCTCTTCTGTACTCGATTTACGTATTAGATATCACAAAAAATGTTCCTGAAGGGGTTATTGTCGCTCAGTTTGCTGATGATACCGAAGTCTATTACAGTTCCAAGAATAATGAACAATCAATTGCTAAAATCGAGAAAGCTGTCAAGGTTCTAAATGAAAACCTAGGAGAGATAGGACTTGATCTTACTCCATAAAAGACCAAATTGATCCATTTTTCTCTCAAGAGGAAAGTCAAACCAGGTGATACCAAAGTAGTTATTGGAAATCACAATTGAATCATCGGAATCAGCTCGATGTCTAGGAGTAATTTTGGACTATAAATTATCATTTCGCACTCATATTGAAGACATTGACAAAAAAACTCAGAGCACTCAATCGTATTAAATTTTTGAAAGGTACCTGGTGGGGGTGCGATCCGAGTACTCTCCTCATGTTGTACAAGAGCTTTGTGAGGTCACTTTTAGAGTATGCACCTGGGGTGTATTATCCCACGACAAAAGTTGGCTTATACTCTTGAAAAGATACAATTTGAGTCTCTCCGAGCTATCATGGGCTATAAAAAAAGTACTCCTACGAATGTAATCATTGCAGAAGCGAAACTTCCGACTATCAGAGAGCGAGCTAAATTTTTGCTGAAGAATTTCTATATTAAAGTATTGACCAACAATCAACTTCAGTTTCATAATGTTCTTAATCAGTTTATAAGGAACAGTCCTCTAATCAAAAAAACGTCAAAATAGACTATTGGTCCAATGTGCCAGAGAGATAAAACCCTTCATAGATCAAATTGATTGTAAAACACATTTCAACATTTATGGCCACAGTTACAAGGATGTTTTGACTGAGATTCAGTTTGATTCTGGGATTGGGAAGAACATGAAAGAAGTTGAGAATCCCAGAATTTTCCATGAAATGATAAGAGAAAAAGAAGTGGAAATATATGAAATTTATACGGATGGAAGTAAAAACATGGGTGCCAACTGTGTTGGTGCTGCGTGTTATTGTCCTCAGCTCAACCATCGTAGTACTAAGAGTATAAATGCTAGATCATCAGTATACACTGCATAATGTCTGGCGCTCAATGAAGCTATGGATCTTGCTGTGCAGAATACTCATAAAGATATATATTTTCACTGATAGTCTAAGTGCCCTTCAAGCTCTCCATAACCCTCAGCTGAACATTAAAGATAATAATTATCTGTTAGAAATTCGAAAGAAATATAATGACTACAAGACCATTGCATCGTCATCAATTCGACCATATTGTTTGGCAGTGCCCCAGGTTCGATGAACAGAAAACAAAAATGATGGATGAAATTAAGAAATATTGTCAATTCCCTACTATGATGAGTCATATTGTTTGCATCTTGAATCCTAGTGTCATTAATTCTATTGATAAATTCTTTAAAGAATGTAATTCGAAAATTTAAGTAGTTTTGATACGTGAAATAATGTATTTTTGTATGCAATATATATATACAGGGTGTCCCGCAACCGCTCCTTTTCCTGAAAGGGTATTGAAGAGGGAGCATTTTGAAGTGGAAAGTTCCTCTTCCGTTTTTGGATCTGAGCTTATTTTTCTTGGTCTGACCTTTTTTTATCTCGGGGTTTTTCTACTGATTTCAGGGACGAAGTTTTTTTTTTAAATTGATAAAAATTTTTTTTCTTTCTTGAGGGGAGGGGGTGAGGAACAAGGCTGAGCCCAAATCCTGTCTCCAAGATGGGAATGGGATTTTCTTTCTCCATTTTGTGCTCTCAATTCGCATGGATTTGGGAAAATTGGGCACTTCGAGGGGGTAAAAGCCACCCCCGTTTGAACCGGGGATTTGAAATCTTCACTAAATGAGGGGAGGGGGTTGAGGACCAAGCCTGAGCCCAAATCCTGTCTTCAAAAAGTGAATGGGATTTCCTTTCTCCATTTTTTGCCTAGAGTTCCCATGGCTTTGGGGAAATTAGGTACTTTGAGGGGGTGAAAACCACCCTGGT